TGTATTGCTATTGAATGGTTACGTGTGGTGGAGATTGTGAGACACCTATTTCTGTTAGCTAGCACTTTCTAGTCTCTTTGTATTTCCTTGCTGCTAACCAATAAACTCAAGATGTCTGTGGTTTACTCCTAATTACTCATGTGAAGTTACATAAGAATTTGTCTTACAGTAGGCTAGCTTATATTGTCTCAAGTGTTTGCTCAGAATTTTTCCCATTGTCATATGCTTTCTAGCCTTGCAGACAATCATTTAAAATACACATCTACTCTGTTTCCTTTTCTGTTTTAAATTAGCATTGTCTCTCAGAGATGTATATCAGCAATTTGAAGGATGATGAAAAAGTTGTTTATATGTCACCTGAAGATAGGATCTAATTAATTTTCTCCAGTTCTGACTTAAACACACTCTTTTGTTCTTGTCTTCTTTGAATTGTCATTTGCTTTCCAAGAAGCGACTGTGGTGTTTACATCTTTTTCCTTATATTGATTCTGCAATTTTCTTCTTACCTGCTTTTCTTCACACACTTTCAGGAATGTCTTGGAGGGGATATCTCTGGGACTTCAGTGGGAGATCCAGACCTCTCCCCTTGGTTCTGTTTTCTTTGTTCACTTCATTAGAACTCTGTTTGGTCTCACCAACAAATCAGAATTGAACTCTGCAGAGTTCATGAGAATCAAGTCTTATGGCAAGTCTCATCTCTTGCTACAGCAGACTGATCTATTCTAGTTTCATCTATGAGTTCCACTTGTATCTATCTGGCTAGGTGGAAGTCATGTCTGAATTCATGAAGTTCCCAATCTACTTCGTTGTGCCATTATTTTTATAGATCTCTGTGCATACTGCGTTTATAGATATGTTACTTAAGGAGCAGCAATTATGTCCAAGCTTTGACTGAAGTGATTCTTCACACCAGACAATTTGAAGGTAAATGTTTAGTTTGATCCCTGAGAAACAAAAAGTTAGGTTCTTCACTAGTTAGAAACAAAGTTGCACAAGAGGAAAAATAAGACAATGGAGATAATTTTTGGAGCACATCTGGGAAAAATGATATTTCTGTAGTTGTCACACCAACTTTTAGCGTGTATTTCAAGAATAAAAAATGACCAAATGGCAGCAGCCTGTGTTGTTCTTAGAAGAGGACTTCAAAATGACTTTGGAGGCTGATGAGACCAAGACCAGATTAGGTGAGGCCCTGAGCAACCTGATCTGCTGGGTGGTGTCCTTGCCTATGGCAAAGGGGTTGAAACTAGGTGGTCTTCAAGGTCCCTTCCAACCACAGCCATTCTGTAGTTCTGTGAGCCCCTCTTTCTGTCCTCATCTGGCCAGTGAGGGAAACAATACTGGGACTTCTCTCTCACTCCTGTTGGTTGTAATACTACGCTGCTTCTCTTGCTTTCAGTTTTATTGTGGTCTATTACTCCATTTGATGTAAAAGTACTCCATTTAATGCAAATGTGCAAAAGTGGTCCCCGTATAACCAATGAATTAGTAATGTTCTTGTATTCCTATTAGATTTTAACTATCACTTTACTTTTATACTATCTACCACTTCCCCTTGGCCCCATTTTTAAAATCTTTAGAGTTTTGAAGATATATAAAAGAAATATCCTTGTTGTATTCTTCAAAATTTACTCATCTTGGGGTTTAGCTTTTTATGAACAGAAACCATTACTTATTAATATAGATAACACAGTTTGTATGCAAGTGTTTTAACCAGAGTACCGGTTTGTAACATTTATGTATTTTAGGGTTGCGATGTTTGTGAACTGTTAAATCTCTTTTCCCTTTTCAAACAAAATCCTTGTGTCTCCTTTTGACATCTCATTGTGGATTTCTAGCCATAAACATCAATTCTACTTGGTAAAAATGGAGCTATTAATTTCCTCTTGCTATTGTCTTCTCCCTCATTCACTTCAGATGAGGAGGATGATTGAACCATCTGGCAAGTAAACTTCTCTTGGCCTTTCTCTAAATGTTTGTGTTCAATCCGTGTCCAAATCTTACACATTCTTTATTCGTGACCTTTATTAGACATGGCCTATGATAACTGCTATCACAGTTAAAATGTTCTTTTTTTGCATTGTAATTGCTGAAATTCCTTAATTTTGGCAAATGCATTGTTATCTAGTCATTTAGAATATTCTGCAAGACCATTTTCCTGGTTTGTAAAATCAAACAGTATTTATATATATAATTCTCTTCTTTCTATCCAAAAGTTATTTGTCTTTGCCATTAAACTTTTCATGGCTTAAGTGCATCCTTGTTATCATCCTTCATCCCAAAGATACCCATTCCTGCTGTTAACTGGCTCATCATACCAGACCACATTGGCCAGCTGTTTTTCTTTTTTTTTTTTTTTTTCCCTATGAAGTTCCTACATTCCTTATAAACATCTATTCAGAAGATCATTTTTCTCATCCATATCCCTCCTACAGTCTTTTACTGTCATGTCTAAAAAAAAAACTGGACAAGAGTTATCTCCTGGTAACCAGGAGTTCTGCCTGTTTAGCTGACCAATGTCAGATGTTCAAAAAATCAAAATAAAAGAAAAAAAGAAAAGGACTGGAGGGTAATTACTCACTTCATTTTAGCAGATCTTCAGTGACTCTCTATGATTATGCCCTTAGCCTGTGGCAATGCAAGGTAATTTGAGTTAGCATAGTCGTCTTTCATTGACTGCAAACAGCAACTTTTTATAGTTAAATATTTATTAACGCTTGAAACCCTTTTCTTGTACTAAAACTGTGCCCTCTTTCATTGAGGGCTAATGTAACATGAATTGCCTTGCATTTACTGTGGGCTGAGAGTGTGCACATGGACAGTTACCTGGCAGTTATCTAGCATAACACTAACTGTACAGTTCACAGCAGACTGCCCATAATTCAGAAGACATGAGCTGAAATACTCCTAAGTGGGGAGAGGGACTGATAATTGCACAAAATTCAGAAATGCAATTTCACTTTGATTTTCACTTCCAGTCTGTTAGATTTTTATTTGCTTGAATAGAAAATAGGAGGCATTTGGGGGATATGATTTCCTACATGGCAGAGGCATGTTCTTCTTGAAAATTCATTTACATTTCTGCATGCTCCTCTGTTCCTCTGGTCCCTGTTCTTTCCTCCTTAGGGAAGAGATTGTAACTTGTAAGTCTGTAAGCACAAGCTCACATAGGTATGCCATGGTATCATCAGATACAGTGTAAATATTGGTTGACTGGATCAATGGTTGTCATTAAATTGTAATTGTGTGTGGGTTTTTGGAGTTTTGGTACAGTTGAAGAAATACATTGATGTGAAGGTGGGGTTAAGGTTCTTCAAATAAACATATTTATTGACTGATTTTTCCCAAAAGATTAATCTTACTGTTGTGCTTTCCAGGCTCCACTTAGCATAATATATAATGAGTAAAATTAATATTTAATAATGACGTGGTTTAGACAGCATGCTGTGCTTTTTTTTTCTTTTTTTTTTTTTCAAAAAGCATTTCAACAGAGGCTCTCTCCCAGTAGTTAGTTTTAAAGGAAAAAGTTAAGTAGCTGTTACACAGACTGCATGAAGTTTTTTTTATCAACTTTGGGATTTAGCTTAATAAATGTATTTGTTCTTCCTATTTTTTGTGAAACTGTATAACCTACATTTAGTATTATGAAATACAGTACTACAAACGTTCGTGTTAATAGCTTAGTATTTTAGTCCTTCACAAATTAATGCCTGCGGTAACTGGATGATTTTAGGCCTGTTCTTGTAAACAAGGCCTTACTGATGTGCAAGGAACAGTAATATGTGGCAAAAACTCCACATTAACCAAAGTAAGCAGTATAAATGGGGTATAGGAATCCCCTGTTAGACTAAAAATCTCCAAGAGAAAATCTCCAGAGCCTACAAATTAAAGACCTCCAATATCATTTTAAAATAAAGCCTTTTATGTAGTATGAGAGCATTTTTTCAGCTGATAATCAAATGACACTATTATGCAGGCTTACTAGATTTGCAAATTTACAAGTTTTTACAAGTCAGTTGGGTCCCTTCCTCAGGAAATCAGTTTAAGTTTTTTTTTCCTGTATTGACTCAAAGAGCCTGGTTGTCCTTAAATCCTTCTGAATATATTTGCCTTATAATTTGACGGCATTGAGTCAACACCCTTATAGGAACTGTAATGCAATAAAAAGAGAAACTGTTCAATATAGTTTCCAGTTACCTTAGGATCAGATTTGGAGAAACTGGAATGTACACAATAAAACCTGTGCGAGACTTGAGTTCCATGTTACGTTGTAAGCAACTAGGGATTTTCAACAGAAAATGCCATTTGAAAGCTTTACCCTGCTTCCAATGGTTATAAAATGATAAAAATGAAAATGTGTGAGACTCTTGAAATATGCATTTTACTATTCTTAATTTTTGGATTCATACCTTTTTGTTACTGAAAACTTCACGTACAAGTAAATAAGCACATCAATGTTTTTATTCAGTTCTTTTTTATTATAGTGAATGTTTTTGCTTTACCGTTTTCTGCAATAAAATTCTTTACAACTCATTTACATTTTTTAACTTAGAAAAATATGTAGATTCATCTGTACTTTGTGAACTCTATTTTAGAAGAGTCTTTACATTACAATAGATATCCAGCATACATCATGCTTGCAAATGGAACGCACAAAATTTAATTCAGTCTTGTTTTTTTTTTTTTTTTTTTTTTTTTTTTCTCCATGTAGTTAGCAGGAAAGTTTTTACAAATTGCTTGCGTGAATCCAGAAATAAATTTGTCCTTTAGTTCAGATATGAATTTGTTGCATTTGGTTGCACAATTTTAATTGTGGATTCATTTTTATTTATTATTATTGTTTTCTGGCATAAGATTATAAAAAGAAATGTGTATTTGCATACATATGCAAAGAAAAAGATTACATTTGATGTATTTCCATTGAATGTGTTTTCTAAGACAGGTAACTAAATAAATGGTCTCTACTGTAGTAATTTATTTTTTTTTCTACTTGCTTTTAGTTGATTTGGAGCACATGCGTACAGTGAAAGTTGACAAGCACCAACGATTTTGTCAGGAAAACAATTTCAGTAGCCATTTCGTGTCGGCCAAGACAGGAGATTCTGTAAGTATGAAAAATAAAGTCCTTGTAGATTTTTTTAAATTTATTTTGTAGATAGTTGTTATTCTGAGATTTATTATACTTCACATATTGAACACTGAAGAACTCTGGCTACTGCAGGTCCTTTTTGCTAGCCTGCTTGCATGAAAATAGATCTTTTTATGAGTGCGTATGTTTTTTACAGTGGCTTCTCATCTGATTTGTGGTTTGAGGTATAGATCTTAATATGGAAATGCTCTGGCTTATACGTCAGCATGAGAAATGTGACCTGCTGGATCTCTGCTGTCAGCTGGTGACTAAACATATTCCTTAGTTCCAGATGAAGTTCCATCTCTAGAGCATCAATACAGAAATTTTTAATAGTCGATAAAGTCACAGGATCCTGTTATGATCACAGTTTTAATATGGGTCCTGAGTCAGGAGTCATTCTCTCTCTGGGTCCATTGAAATTTGAACATTCTGGTATTTGTAATGCTTTGCAGAGTGTATTTTTGAACAATCATTTGACTCTGACCTAGCTGGGATATTTGTTTTAGTTGGAAGTGTATGGAAGAAAAGGTTCTCTTTTAGTTGACTGTATCAGTCAGATTAAACCACATTGTATTGTTTCGCTTGATTTCTGTCATATGCCTAATGACTTTGTCATTCCCATGAAAAACAATAAATCAGTATGTCTCAGTAATGTTATTTATGACAACATAATTTACTTTATTTTAATGTTATTGAACAGTAAGACCATGTTCAATTAAATGGAAGTATAGTTCTGTAACACATGTGGACTCACTGATTGTTTTAAGATCTTTGATGAAAGATCATTTACTTCTACAATGGATTGCCAAATTTTATAAGTTAATTATTGTGTTACACTGCTGATACAAGTGCAGTGAATCCTGATTCTCCTTAGAATTTGTGTTAAATCTTTGGCATAATTTTTTGTTTAAATGGGAAAATGGCTTTTTATGCTAGAGGAAGAAAAATTTTATAATACTTTATGCAGTGAAGCTTGCAAATGATAAAATATATTTTTTTTCTCAAGGAGACAACTGTTTGGTGGGAACTGGTAATAAGAAAACCAGCATTTTTATAAGATTGATATAGTTAACATTATAAACTATGAAGGAATCTTTATTATGTCTTTTTAATTGATTAATGGATTGCAGCAGCATCCCACTATATATACTGATTATACTTTTTAACTTGCTGTTTAAAAACAAAAGTAAATCTGAATATACCTAGAAAACACTAACCAGAAGTTTCTGTTTAAATGGCTACTAACAAAAGAAGGTATGAGCTATAGTTTACAGTAATTCATTTTGAGTTTTGGTATAGATTTGAATTAACTCTTTCTACCTACTACTGCACACTGGCCTTTCAAAATCTTCCTAGTTAATATATTTGGGTAGTCGTGTGGAAAAGACAGGGTGCCAGTGATTTGAGAAGAGGACGTCTGTTGCTACTGTGGATAGAGACTAGGGAGTCTTACATACCCAGTTAAGGTAGATGAAGTGATTTGTTTGGTTTACCTCATATCTTTCCAACAAACTCATTTGCAGAAGATAATTTTATATACTTAGAAAAACCCAAATGTCTCCTCAGAGGAGAATTGATCTTCATGAAAGACTTCTTGCAGCTTAACCATCTCACTGTCCATCAAACTGCCTACCTAAAGGGTTGAGCTCATGCCTCATGTTTTTGTGAACAAAATATCCTCATGGTAGGGGATCTAGTTTAGTACACCTGAGAGCCTGGTGTGGGTTAAAGTAGGTCTCTGGAGAAGGTCTGCCTGCTTCAGGTTGCCTTCCTTGCTGTGTGGATGCTAGTAAAATAGACCAATACTAGACCAAGGAGGGCAGAGTAAGAAAAATGGTTTTTGGAAGCTACTTCGGCTTGTTTGTTGTGCCACTTATGTGCTACCAGTTTCCACCTGAGCTGTAAGAAAAGACTGCGTGAATGGTATTTTTATTTGACTTTTCACTGAAAAGGGCTTTTATAGAGGCCTTACCTTTTGGGGGTGGTGGCTGCATGATGAAAAGCAAGGTATGCTGGTGGGTTAGATTTTGTGCACCGTGGCACAGCCACATAGGTAGGATGCAGCTTAACAATGCAGCGAGTTCAGCAGTGGTACAGTCGTAAGCTGTTCCTGTTTAATGTCTGTTCTGTTCTTTAATGTAATTTAGAATGCAGCTGCCTAAACAGTCAGATTGGTGGACTGTATTGAGATGAAGTATAGGAGTTATTTAAGATAGCCTTGCCTCCCAATGTTATCTGTCAAACCGTGTTTGAAGTCTAACTCTGATAGACTGCTTCATGCCATACAACATTTTGCTTATTTACTAAATACTTCAGTTCAGTATAACACATTTAATGCTTTGTAAGACTCTTGAACAAATGTATCATTGCTTGGCATTGGCGTTCATAATGTTTTAAAAACGTGTGCAGCAGAGATTTTTGTGATGTTGATGCACAGTTCCGTTGTTCTTAATTTCAGAAATCTACATCTCTGTTGCACAATACACCGGTAAAATATTTTTGTGCTAAACATTAGTGAATACCCTTATTCATATTTTATAGCACTGAGAGTGGTATTTGAGAGGTGGGTTGTGTAAAAGCTTGTTTAAACTTGGGTCTCTGGAGGCAGAGTAGAAGTGTTGCCTAACAATCTAGCATACTGTTCATTCCTCATACCATTGTTGAATTATTTTCTCCAATTTTTAAACAAAATTGAAAGTACCAGATGAGGTTATTTTCAGATCTGCTTTGCACAGGTCATAATTTTGTATATCTCATTGTTTACAGTTCAAGAATGGTTTGATATATTTGAAAGAACTTTGAGGATGTCTGTTTTTAATCATTTAAATGTGATTTAATTTTTTTTTTCCCGTAGGTCTTCCTGTGTTTTCAGAGAATTGCTGCTGACATCCTTGGCATCAAATTAAACAAAGCAGAAATGGAACAATCACAGGTGATTTACACAAATACATGTTTTTCCTTAATATTTTGCTTAGTATTTAGAAAAAAAAAAACAACACAGATCACATTGCAAATTATTAACTGTCCTATAAAGCAAACTACAGCTATTGTTTTAGAGACAATGATTTACGTTTACAACAGCCTTTTAAAAACATTATCGATCTTTATTTATCCATCATGATAAACATGCTGAAGTAAGAAAATATATGTTCAAAAATATAATAATAAAAAAAAGGTTTTAGATCTGTTTGTTTAAAAATAGTACATAAAAATTTCTTAGAAATTAATGTCTCTATATGTTTGCATATACAGGTAGCATGGAAGATATTTTTCTATATACGTGAATTACTGTACAATGATGTCAGATACAGTTTTTATGATAACCCTCTTCCTTTTTAATTCTTTTAAATATTAAGTTTAATTTTAGAATACTACAAGGTTAAATGATAGAAGGCATAAATTGTGAATGGAAATCTTCTAAATCAATGTTCAGTGTAGAAATACAGGAAAAAATATTATTTGTCAGTCACAGAGTCAGGAATTAACTATGTAAAGTCCTTTGGTTGGTTAATCTCAGATTTTAGTTTTCACTGTGTGCGTATATAATACAGGATAAGGATACTTTCCTCAGTAGTGACTGCTTGCCTCAGAGAAAAAATGCTGATTTTGTAAAAGCACTATTTCCAATTTTGTTTCTGATCTGCAGATGAGAAATGAATCCTGTTCTGTTTCAGTATAGCCATTCTCAACTGCATACATACCTGTGGAATCACATGTTTTGGTAGCTATTGTGGCTCCTTGCCATATGAAATTGTTTTTCTCACCATACCAGTCCAAAATAATCTCCCCCTAAAGGAGTAGTGTAGTTTTCTTCCTTTAGACTTTGTGTTTTGTTCTTTACAGTGAGTTGGGGATTTTCTGCCATCTCCTCTGCTGTATAAAAGGGCTGAGAGAGAGGACAGTGCTTCCCAACAATAGGTGGGAAGGTCATTAAGAAGGATGTCCCCCATTCTCTTAGTTAGTAGTGAGTTAGGGATATGAATGCAGTGATTTTACTGTGTACACGTCAAAACCCTGTTGCATGTCCTGCTTTAAACTGTAACAGAGCTTTTTTATTTTTCTTTAAAGAATATTCCATGTAATTGTATGCAAAATAGCTCTAATGAGGGCAGTTTTATAACCTTTTAATTTAGTGGGGAAAAGATGTTTTCAGTATTCTTTTTAAATTTGAACTCTAATTTGATTAGCTGCATTTAATAGAGTTAAACCATTTATTTAATATCAGTGAATGTTCAAAAATGTGTTAATTGTTCAAATAAGCAAGCAAGCAAGACATTTTCCACTATAACTCCTTTTTCCTTACCACCTCCTTCTTCCTAGTTCCTGCTTCTAAAAATAATTTTGCTGCCAGAAACCTATATGCATAGGTTTAAACCAGAAGGATTTTACCAGTTTCAGAAACCTCAGAAACAAAGATTATACTACTGAGACAACCTTTACTGTATAAGGACGTTTAAGATTACAGCACACTTATTATAAAATTATGTGTTAAACTAAAAGGTGGCTGAGCTGCTGGCGTAGTATCCTGGAATTGCTAGTTGCTGTTAATATTAAACAAGTACTCCAAAAAAAAGTCAATAAGTTTATTTAAAAAACAAACAAACAAAAAACCAACACAAAGCACTTCTTGTGTATACAGGTTGCTCTTCTGCTTTTTGAAATATACACTGAATATGTAATTTCTGTTTTCAGCATGGCAGTGTTTACAATCTGTGTGGAAGTGGTCAAGAAAACTGTATCACAAGCAGTAAAATGGCAAAATAGCGTGCACATCTAACAAGTAAAGCAGAAAAGCTTCAAAAAGCTATGATTTATAAGTAGAGAAATATGGAGCATATATTTTTAATATTCTTTTACTACTTAGTCATCATTTTTCTGTTGTTCTGAACCCTATAATGGTTTGTACTTAAATAATTTATCACAAATATTCTTTAATTTTTCTTTGGATGTTTAGCTTGGATTGGAACAGTAGACTCAGATCTGTCTGTGCTATTGTGTCCTCATAACTCAGGTGTAAACTTGTAGATAGGTATGAAAATGCCTTCAATTATAAAGAGAACATGGGGAATGAGGTTATACAGAATATTGTAGCTTTCTAAAGAAAGTGTCTGTTTATAGGTTATTTTTAAGGTAACTGATACTGGCTTTTTCCTTTTTACCTTAGTATAATAATCACAATTTTTAATTATGTTGACCAGATCAATGGAATATAAAATATGAGGATAGGACAAGGTTGATATTAAGCAAATTTCAGTAGCAATAGCCTCTAAATAATGTGCATAATATAAATACTCACTGTGGCCCACACATTACTGGTAATGTGAATCCAAGCTGTCAGAATTAAAAAATAAATAAATCTGAACATAAACAGTAAAACCAATAACAAAAGAAGAAACAAAGCCTGTAAATGGAAGTGGATAGAAAAGAAACTTAATTGTCTCATCATTCAGGTACAGCAGAAGTCACTATATGGTGATATGCTTCATGTAGCTAAAGGGTGTAAAGAAACTTGTCTTTGAAAGCTTCTTCTGATCAACCATAGTATCAATCTATTCTGAATAAGCAATAATTTGTTGTTAACGGTATAATGTTTGCTCCCTTTGAGAGTGCTATTTTGAGTGGGCAGTAGCAATTGTCCATAATTAAGTCAATGAGAAACCAATGATAATCGTATTTGAGAGTCCGTCTGTTAGCTTTATCTTAAGGTTCATTGTTGTTCATTTGGTATGGAACCAAATAGTCTGGTCACTTCCTAAGAACAGGAAGGAAAAGTCTTCTTAAAATTGGGGAAGGAAAATGTTAACCTTCACAGCTTCAGAGAGAGAAATAGAAGGATGTTTCTTGAGAGAAATGTATTAGTCTGCAGTGGAAAAGCCTACCTGAAGTAATGTGTAGATGCTGTTATCCAAAAGCATGGATCTGGTCTTTTGGCTGGGAGGAGGTGATGTTAAATGATATTACCATTACTTGGGTACTGGTTTACTACAAATGTTTTTGTATAATAGGTACAGATTCTATAGTGTGCGTAATGGGGGGATGTTTGCTTTTAAATTTCTCTCAAGTGGGCATTAGGCTTCCTTAAATTGTAGAATGGCTATATGGTCATGCTCCTAAAAATTTCTGGGACTTTAATATTCTACCTATTGTGCTATAAAAGTAGATAGATGGGTAGATGCTATAAAGGAACAAAACAAAACACAAAAATAAGTGTGGCGTATCCTTATCTCAGTAAATACGTGAGTAATGAATTGAATTTCATCTTTGATCAAAGAGTAGAACACATTTTAGTTTTACAAGAGTGCACTGTTTACTACCTGGATTATATCTTTGAATTTTCAGTATTTTGTGTAATGTGAGGTTTCTTCATTTTGGAAAATAAGAAGGTGTCTGCTTGAGTATGTTTGTCAGAGAACATCAGATGTCTTAATTCAGTCTAGGAGGTGACAAAGTGTAAAGTGAAACACTGAGTTTGAGTAAAACACGAACAGTGGAACACTGTGTGCTAGTTACAATCTGTTATGTATTTATTAATTATTACTGATTGTCTAATATTGAGAGTATTGTTTAAAAATCATTTCTAGCACTTGTGATTCTATGTCTGAAGATGCTGTTTTCTTTGTTTAGAAACCTATTCTAATTGTTGAAGTCAGTAAGAGGACCCTAGAAGTGAGTCACTTGGTTGGAAACAATAGGAATCCTAAACACGTTATTGGAACTGGTGTGAATTTGGGGGGGTTGACTCATGTCTTCTGAGCTTTGATAACTTGCAGAACTGCAGCAATCCATGTGAAAGTAGATTGGGTACTTGGTCCCCTTCAAATTAACGGCTAAACCATTAATTAAGTGCAAGAACAAACCATAGCAATTGAACTATTTACCATGCATTGTTATAGAAAATGGCTGCAGCAGTTTAACATGTAAATGCGACCAAAGCTATTTGTTACTGCCCTTTTCCTGGAATTTATCGCTCCCACAGCAGAATCACAAAATGGAAGGCAATCATGTGCCTTGGCCACATCAGGGTGAAGTTCAGCAGCTTAGCTTAAACTGCTGATGAAAGTTATTTTTAAGTGAAGTTGCCAGACTTTGTGCTGAAGCGGATGAGGTGCAAGTACACGTTACATTCCACCAGCTTTCCTTTGGCAGCAGTGATCTCCAGCAGAGGACTGGAACAGACATTTGGGGGTGGTAAGTTTTTAAGCTATCTCAGCTAGAGCTACTAAATCTTGTCTGTTCCCATGCTGAGATGACTGTTAATCAAACCTTTATTTGGTCAGAACTGTGGTGAAACAAAGGAATAGATTACTGTTTGTGTGTGACTGGAACGTGTTTTTGAAATGGAACAGTTCCAAAGTAAGAAAATTGCAGATTCTGACTTATTTTCAGTCCTCAAATTCCTCTCTTTTAAATCACAAGGGTCTGATGAAATTTGAGGAAATAGCTCCTTTACTAATCAAATGTTTTTCTTTCTATATTTTTTACTTTCAACCATAGTATAAAAACTGCATGGGGTACAGCTTTGTTCCTTGGCATTGGCAAGAGGTAGCGTTTTTGTAAGTGATGTGTAGTTTTCTCTTTAACTACATGCCAGTTCAGCAAATGAGGGTGTGCATGTGCCAGCTTTGTACAATAAAATGTTTGGCAGATAAGTCAGATTGGGAATTCGGAGCACCTGCACCAAGTAAGTTTCTTTCTCATTACCGACAGTGGTTTGAACCTTGGCAATGATATGCCTTCTACAGATACAGATACAAAGAGGTTTTTAATTACTGTGGAGTTAATAAAATAAATGCTGCAGTGTTTTTTTTTTTTTTTTAACTCTTATTTAAGTGAAATTCCTTGAGAAAATCCACGTCATTTATGTTAGTCAGCTTCTTGCTACAATGTGCCTAAACAGGGGTCACTAACCTAGCTCTGTTTACATGATGGGATTTAGCCCAATGTTTTGAGGAACAATTAATTGCCTACTGATTGCAAGATTTTTTTCTCAGCTCCAGTCAAAAGATTGGTATGAAGAAACTAGGTCCTGTGAGGTCAGATAACACTGTTTAATGCTAAAACTCCTACTACTGCCTTACATGGGATTTGGCAACCTTTCCCTTGATAACATCAGGCCAGGAGTCTAGTAAATCATGAGCGTTGTCTACTAGATAAGATAATACGAACGTGATCAATTAAACTCAAGAAGAGTACATCAGCAGCTAATAAATCCAGATCCTTTACCAGGCAATCTAATTACTATTACTTGTTTGACATACAGGTTTTATGTACACTGTACTGATTATATGTTCATATAATCCATTTATGTATCCTTCAACATATAATCAATCAATATAATCAATTTATGTTCCTTCAACATAATAACATAATTTCATTTATCCTAACCGTGAAAATATGTTGTGTAAAAATCAAAGTATTTTAAGAAAAAAGAATTAAATTGGTTTAGCATATCTTTCATAGCAGACCACCTCTGTAGCTTTTTTGCTGAAGTTATAGTATGAATTTTTCTCCCCTTTGTATAAACATTGTGTTAATAAAAAGCTCTTAACAGTTTTGTTTGCCTTTAAGGGGAAAAATGACTTTTTTATGTTTTTGAATGAAGTAAAAATCAAAGCTTGCAGCACTTTGATGTGAGGTTTTTAATTTGTCACTGTTTTTTGATTAATATTTAGTTATAATGTAATAGCTATGTAATGGAAAAGATTGATGCATACCTCTAGTAGACTTGTTACAGTTGCTGATAGGAATCTGACTACTGTAAAAAATTTATGTACTTTATGCTTAAAAGAAGAGGCCATTGTCATCTTTCCTTCCACTGTATTGCTTTGCCTTTTATTCTGTCTCTTCCCCTGCTTTAACACATTTTTGTTGATTGCATGTATGAATATTTCACTTTGATGCTTTGAAAGTTGCATGTCCTTGAAGAAGCTTGAGAACCAGCTCAGCTGCTGTTAGTGATGCTTTCAGCTAAGCTTGTTGCTCTTGTTCAGCATTCGACCTGAAAATAAATGCATTTTGTTTTTGCTTCTGCATTGTCATTTTATGTCGTTCATTCTTCCTTTTCAGCTACTGATCAGTCTTTCCATTTTTTTCCGTCTCTTTTCTTTTTGCCTTCTTCTCCTTCACCTCTATCCATTGTGTTGATACATCATTAACAACAGCATGTTGTCAGGGCAGAACTAGTGAAATATCCTGAAGAAGATAACCAACATCACAACACTTCCAACTGCCAGAGCAAAGTCTGCTCAATGCAGTAGTTCAGGTATTGATGTAAAACTTGTATTTTTTAAAGCTGCTTTGCTTTTACATGAAGTAACAACTACAGTAAGTTCTATTGGGAAAACATATTTTATATCTGTAAGTAGTAATAATACTTAATAGCGTATGAATTTGAAACAGTATGCAATTATGTGGTATTTCTAATAAATGGTTAGTTCATAGAAAATCTGTAATAATTCACAATAGTATTAGGAAGGGCTTTCAGTGCTGTATGTTCGAAATGTTACGCTGCTGCCTCAAATGGAAATGGACACAAATTGGAATCTTTTTTCTCTCTCATATATGAGAGACCAACAGTCCTGTCAAATGCTTTGTAAATAGAATGTGTAACATCTGTTGGATTTATAATAGAAAATAAATATTTATAGTATGCAGAAGTTCTTTTTATGTTAATCTTAGTCTGCATGCCTGTTGAAGCTTTTTTTTAAAGTATGGTTGTATATGAAATTTGCTTTGTATCCTATCTGTATTTCCTCTGAAAGTGCTTATAGTAAAGAGTGAAAGACAAAGTTCCCTACAATTTCCAGTTACAACTAAGGGAGTTATTCTTAAAGAATGCATACTATACTCTTTGTAAACTTCTATTATTTACATACAAAACAATTCTCATGGAAGAATAACTGTATTCATTGCTTTTGCAAAGGAGTTCTGTTTTGTATTAGTCCTGTAAAATTGTTATGAAAACCAACCTTCTTCTGCTTGGTATGAATAGACTGGTATTTAGACCGAGACCTGATAAGACTTTCTATAAGGTGCTGAAGAGAACTGAACTGTGACTGTTTTGCCTAATTGCTTTTTTTTTTCTCTTATGTTTCATAGTAAAATATCTCTTGAATGCTTTGCCAGCATCAATATTGTATTTTGTTTCTCATTATTGCTGTGTTTTCTTTTATGACAGAGGGTGGTGAAGGCAGATATTGTCAACTACAGTCAGGAGCCTGTGACAAGAACCGTTAATCCTCCTAGAAGCTCAATGTGTGCAGTTCAATGACCATATTATTTCCCTTTGGTTTGATACCTTTGACTGTTCTCCTACCTTGACACAGGCTCTGGGATTTCCAGGAACTTTTAACAGTGACCATCGCTACAATGCAATTCAAAAACGTGTTGTACCATTGTTCATTGAGAAGCAGCAGGCATTTTTTTGACCGGCTGAAATGAAATGTTAGACCACACACTTTGAAAAATTGAAGTCTATATTCTTTTAAATTATATTTCAATAAAACAGTATAACTGTGTTTATAAGTTTTCTCCTACCTGTTTGACTGGTACTGGAATACAAATGGATGAAGAAGTCCTGCATTTGAAAGCTTTTAAAAGCATCACTACGGAAGGGTATTTTGCCAAAGTGGTTTTTTATTTTTTTCTTTGTCTTTTTTTTGCTCCTGTGATCTAAACTAACATTCAGCAAACTGTTACTTGGAAAAGCTATTGCTGGAATAATTTTAGACACTAATATATTTTATCAGGATAATTTGGAAAGTACTCCATAAATATATCTACATAGTGCGAAATGTATAAATTGTATCCAGGAAGAAGCAGTGCTTGAAATAAAGCTGTAATATAAAAATAGTTACTTTTCTGAAGTCTCAAATTGTCTTCATGGATGCTCTGGAAAATGCTAATGTTTTATGTATTTTTATTAAGCACATCAGCATTACTTCTTGCAGCAGCAGATAGGCTCATATGTCTTCATGAATATGGATGAACCTCAGTCGGCAGTTTGGGCTGTAAATGTTGAGTGATATATTCAGCATGCATTAGAAACTGTTGATAGATCAATTAGGATCAGTCATTTTTAATAACTAATTGAATGACTTACTTTTGGACTGGTATTCTTTTCTTTCTAGTTCAGAGTAAAAATAAAAGCTGTCTCCTTTGTGATCATCACATTTCTCCTCTGTTCTTTTTCTAGCAGTCTCTTATACATGCAGTTCTCTACTGCCACATCTAAATAGAAAGGTAAGGTGAGAAAAAAAAAATCAAGCCAACCTAATTCCAAGCTAGAAAGCTTTTCCTGCTTTAACTCTAGAATGTGTTTTCTTACAAAGTATGACAAAACATCGTGAGATTTAGAAAATTCATGAGGCTAAACAAAGGAAACTTGTATATTGCAAGTGGAAAAAATGAAGAGGTCCTTTAAGAAAATATTTTTGTTGAGCTGTTCAAGAAAGGGCCTAATAGTTGGAACAAATATGTTAAAAAATTACAAATGGCATGAATACGCTATTTGTTATCATTTTGGTATACTCAAAGTTAACTGAAAAGCTAAATCCATTTTTAAACTGTTCAGTATGCAGCTTGATGCATAGCTCTATAAAGTCACGATAATGACTTTGTGTTGTGATATTTTAGCATCAAATGCGGGAAGTTTTCTGAAACAATCTGTGTTACTGAGAGCTTGTACACTAGAGGTAGGTGTGAATTTTCAATAGATTATTAATTTCAGAACTATAGTCTGTGTTCTTGCTTCTGTCCCATGGAGCTCATGTCCCACTGCATAGCATTTACCTTACAGTTAAATGCAACTGAACTATCTTCCACTTGCCACCAGATGAGAACATCTGCCTCAAACATTTATTCTGAAGTAGCTGATGAAGTTTATATACTCCAAAGCATGTGGTAAGTTTTTTTTGAACCCTCAGGTTTTTTTTTTTTTGTGTTCGTTTCCTGAACACTGCCCATATGCTCAGATATTCATGAGAACTAAGAACCTCTCTGAGATCTCCCTAGATCTTTTTCTAGCATGTGAGTCAACTTCATAGTCCTGCTTACCAAGTGATATGTAATATGGTCTTAAAATGTTTTTTGGCATTTCAAAAACTTTTCCCCACATTTTATAGTAAGCTAAAATCAAGGGTTTTTAATAAAGTTATTTGAAAAATGGTAGAAATAAGATGCACATCAGTTTTTATTGAAAGCCTGTCAAAGATGTTCAGGTACTTAACTGGCAATTATCTTCCATTCTGTTCACTCTGTTGGTGTTGATGTTGAGGAAGTTCTGTGTGCAGGACCAAGACAGCAAATGCTATGAAATTTGTTTGCTCCCTGTATGCTTTTGGCATGCAGGTTCAGATAGTGGGAGGATTCATAGTCATACAGACAGGTCTACTGAAGACTTTTTTACAATGTAAATTGAGGCATCCAACTTTGAGCTGCAGAAAGTCAACATGACAAGTCCTTAGCAATTTTGATTAAAAAAAAAAGTTTGTTTCTCTTAAAACCTTTTTGTAATCTCACTTTTCACAAGCGAATATTTTTTTCATAACTTGTTAAGCAAAGGCCCTTATTACCTGAATAGTCAAAAACTTCTGCTTTTACACTTCCTAGTCCAGGCTATTTTACAGATAGATTTTGTCTCTGTCCCTTTGTGATCTTTTATTCTCAATGTGTGTTTTTCTAGCTGTCTTTACTTTTACTTCCTTTTGTGTTTTCTTCCCATTGATCTCTTCACCATTTTTTATGTTTCAGTCCTTTCCTCCTCTGAATGTGTTTTGTTTACATTTGCAAGCCATTCTCATTCTTCCTACCTAACAAGCATGTGTATTATTTACGCTAACCATGAATCTCTTGTCTTCTATGCCCCCAGCCCCTCCTCGTGCTGCCCCTCTTAACCTCCTCAAAATTTCTGTGTTGTATACTCACTTCCACTCTCCCTGCCTTTCCCTACCTTAGCCACCCCATTTAGATCCATTACCTGTCCACATTTTAATCCTTACAAATGAGCTTTGCTCTTTTTTGCTCAGCCCTGGGGACCCCACCCTGAGCCTTTGGATTCCAGCTGCAGCCTAAATCCTCGGCTGTGGTAGCTGCCTTTGAAGTATCGCAGCAGCTGTTGCTGGAGATTCACGGGTGCCTTTGCCATCTGTATGGCCTACGCTCCACCAAGCTGAGCAGAGAGGTCAGAGATAATTCTGGAGGATTAAGCTACGTGGAGAGAGGGAGTAGCCTGTTCTGCAGATGAGGCAGGGGCTATCTGGAGGCTGATAGGGAGGAACTGATTGAGTCGGCGAGGTGTGTAGTGGGGAAGCAGGCAATATCACCTTCTGCAGGTAATATTGCAGATCTCCAGGGTGCACACACAACTGAATTTAAGCATGTACCACATCAATGAACTTAAAAGTTTCTTGCAAGGTGAGAATGGGTTGAGAGCAATTCAACAAACAGTAATGAGGTTAAATAATGCAGCACTCTCCTGAAGTGAGGCGACATATGCTTAATGTCCATTGACATTGGGGGGCGGGGGGGCAAGCATGTTCTTTCCTGAAGCTGAGGCCAGATGAAGGGAAGAGGCTTGTTTAGGCCCTGATCTTACACAGATGCACACTGATGAAGTGATCTGCCTGCTCAGAGCTGTTGTAAGTAATCACTGAAGTAACAGCTCTGCAGCTAAAAATTGTTTTTGAGTTCAGCTTGCCACTGCAGTTAGCCGCACTTGCTGTCCTGGATGCCAGTGGCTATGTTCTCGCTGATGGTACATTTAACCACCAGTGCTTTTGAAACAAGTATTTGAAATGTTGTTGTACACATGCAACTTTTTTCTCTTGTGGCTCTAAAATTTGGTAGGGCCAAATTTAGTCTTTTTCCTGAAGTTATTTTCCCTTATGACCAACTGCAATGAGTGCCAGAACCTCTGATCAGTCCTGGATCTCCTCTCCAAGTATATTGTTCTTTTGACAGTTCATAAAAGCTATGAAAAGACATGAATTTCTTTTTAACCAAATAATTTTTTTTAAAGGTTTTAAAGGACACATACAAGGTCAAAATTACATGGTGTGCTCTTTTGAGGGTTTGAAAATTGTTGGTGCTATCTATCTGCATCATTAAGCATCTATTTACCTTAAGAATTTGTTCCATAAAGCACTGATTGGGTTTCAGTTAAAGTAAAGGGCTTTTGAATTAGGTTGTTTCTTTGAAATGAAGAGCTAATTTGATTGTCATAGTAAGTGCTGGCAAATTCACCTCATGATGAACCTAGTAGCCAAAGTTTTGTAATAATTTTATAATGAAAAAGGGCACAGTGATATTTGATTAAAGTTGGCAATTCTTTTGCTTTTTTGATGATACGGTAATTTAAATAAATCAGTCTGTGTTTTTCCTTTTTACATCTACCCTATGTTAGGGTTGCATTTTAAATGGCTGTGTTTTCATGAAAGAGCTTTGTAATTTTTGTTTCAAGATTATCATGACCTTTTCATAGTCGTTATAGCATGGAGTACTGTTTAGGAGGGGCCCCTATTTCGTCACTGGCACAGGCTGCCCAGAGAAGCTGTGGCTGCCCCATACCTGGAGGTGTTCAAGGCCAGGCTGGATGGGGCTTTGGGCAACCTGATCTGGTGGGAGGTGTCCCTGCCCATGGAAGGGGGTGAAACTGGGTGGTCTTTAAAGTCCCTTCCAACCCAGACCGTTCTATGATTCTATGATTTGTGTGTTGACCTGAGACCCAAGGTTTAGGCCACTGGACAAGAGCAGCAGGCGGCACTGAAGCATGGTCAGTATGTACCTTTGCTCCGGTCAGATAATGGCTCTGAGCTGGCACAAGAGCTGTAGTTTACTGGTAACAAAACAAAACCCCTTGTAACTTGGTGTCTTTAATTCTTTTGAAATACATCTTGGTATATGTGACTGGAACTGTGCTGTTCTGTTTATCTTTTATCATTGACCAAAGACTAAACTGCTGTTCCTTAACATAAGTAACAATTCTACAACAGTGGGAATTTTTCTGTGAGAGGATTTTTCTCATTCAGAATACTTGCATTCATTCCTGCTGGTAGTTGTATGCCAGTAGTTGTATGATGGTTGTGCTATAGATGTGCTTAAAGCACCAATGAATTTTACAGAAATTATATTTGCAAAACTGACATGATTAACTGCTGTCTTCTTTCGTCTGGAATTTTAGTGTTATTTCCCAAGCAAAGTTGTTCTTCTACAATGTTGGACTTGAATTCTTATTTTTCTCAGTTCAAGTACTACTGCTTAACATATCATCTGATTTCTTTAGGCTGTCTTTATTTAAAAACAACTCATAACCACTTAAAATGTCAAAATAGCTGAATGCTGCTGAAAAGAAGCAGCCAAAACATATCCGTGTTTGCGTAGGGGTAATGGCATACATATGAGATTAAAACACCAGTCCAGATAATTATCTGAAGGAAGCAAATTTATACTCTGATTTCAGACACTATGAATAGTATGTGATTAGAATTTAATGTGCTACAGCTTTATTTACAAAATACACAGGTTCTATATAAAACTTCTTTTTATAATGTACTCTCAAGAAGCCTTGGGGATCCCTGTTTAACTTGCAAATGCCGAAGTTTGATCTTCCCCAAATAGAAGATAGTGAAGCTCCTGAGTTCCACGAACTGTGATTTCTATTTTCAGCTTCCCATAGAGAGCTGACTGTTCAGCCAATTTAAACTTTTTTCTACTCCACTTCATCTTCGTTCATTTTGGCACCGACGGGGCTTTTGAACTGGAAAATTTCCAGTTAGCTAATTGGCCATTTGCCTTGTTTTATGTGGGGGTGATGTCAAGTGCTGAAATAACCAATTGACTGAAAGCAATCTTGTTTCAAAGGTTGGTCAGAACCAAACCTAAGAAGGTACCAATTTCAGGTTTGTTTTGTATTTAACCGCTACACTGAGTTCCTTATTCTGGTGGACAAACCTCTGAGAAGAATATAGATTTGAGGTCAAGAGCTTGTGTTTGCCCAGATACCACATTTAGAGCACTGAATTCTAGGGGAAATAGCTAGGAATCCAGATCTTTTTTTAATTTCACTTTCAGGACTTTCTCTACATCTACTCCCTAGTATCATATTGACAATCAGCATTTTCATAAAGATAAGGATTTAAGTCCCTGTTTAAAAAGCAAAATGTGGTAATTAT